GCTGTAGGCTTGGTAGTCCGTGATCCTGGTGGTCGAGATAGTACTGAACGTGGTGGTGGGGTCCCGGCAAGCTCTCACAAACGCATGGCTCACGGCAGGGGGACCTGGATTTCAGCCCGTCGGTGCATCGAGTCATTGAGCAGGACATCTTCCTGTGATATGCTAGTTTCCCTAAATAGGGGGACCCCGATATATTATAATCCTTATCACGGAGACACCCGAAAAGGTACCCCTAATCTTGGGAACCCCCAGTATCTGCAGTTTCAGGAGCCGGCCGACCTTCAGGGTTTGTATCTTTAAGGAGTCGTGGCCGCAAGTCCTGAAGCCTTTGAGATGAAACCAGGGGGTTCAGGGTTTAGGGTTTAGGGGTTTAGGGTTTAGGGTTTAGGAGTTTGCTGGGAATGAAGGAATGGAAATGCAAATGGAAACTACTATAGTGGGTTATATAGGGACTACTATGAAGATCCATTCCTTTTACTCCTAGCTATCCAAAGGTATGGAGGTTTCCCAAAATTAGGGCCTTGTTCGGAGGGCCTCATACTAAAGACTATAATAATATGTTGAGGTCTATATGAAAGTCCCACTGCTTTTGGAAACTAACATATAACTTGGGGCAAAGGATTCGTCACTGCAACGACGACAGCACCCTTCGACATTTCGGCCGGGAGCTGCAAAGCTTACGTCTGAAAACGATTTGACGAGGTGACTTCTGGCTACGAGTAAGCTACATGCCCTGGATGCCCGGTGCCATCCGGCAAAATGACTTGAGGGGCAAATCGCATCCGTGCATGCAGAGATGCAGGTCCAGTTTCGAAAGCTGCCTGTGCCAAATGAAAGTCATATGCTGCGCAGTGCTGCTTAAACTTATCAGCTGAGATCCGGAGGGCCCGGGCTTCTCGAATTTGAGATCTTGCCAGAAATTGCGGGCTACTTTTAAGGAGAGCTGCACAACCCACAGAACAGCCCTTGGGCAGGACAGGTGCCAGCAAATCAAGTCACTTTGACCCCTGTCAAGCTGAGGATGAAAATTCCCATGGAATGAAAAGTGATCCTTCATGAAGTCCTGTAACCTCAGAGAGTTAGGCAACATCTGAGCCCTCTTGGAGAATAGCTTCCCCAGTCCGTCTGGACCCTGGAACGAGGGAACACAACAATCTTTCTAAGATTTGTGCAAGTAGTCGCAATGGAATCTGGCGTCCGGAAGACTGCAGACACTTTTTGGGGGGTGCAGGTACTCGAAGGCAGTTCCGTTCATTGCACTTCTTGGAGCAACGTGAAAATGATAATATGTGGTAGTTTCCCAAAATAAGGGGAGCCCTTATTACAGGGACCCCCAAAATGGTACCCCTAATTTTGGGAAACCCCCATGTCTCAGGCCAGGGCCAGGGACCCTTTCCCAGGCTGAGTCGAACAATAACCTTCTGAAAGCCAGTGCCCAGGCCCACTAAATAGTCGTTTCCGTTTTCTTTTCCATTATCCCTATATAACCCCAATATTACCCTAATATAACACTAATATAACACTAATATAACCCCAATATTACCCTCAGAACCATGAGGCCCAGAGCGAAGTCTCAAATCTAAGAGTCCACGTGTTCTTATCCATGCATAACACCCTGCAGCCGAGGCTCATAGCATCGAAGCGCCTGGTCCCTTACCTCATGCTCCTCCTCCGCATCACCATTGACACTTTTTGGTCCCAGCTTACCTTTCAGTGCAAGATCCTAAATCAGGACGCTACACGTGTCAGGATAAGGCGTTTAACACACTGAATAACAGCATTCACCACAGCGGGAAATTGACACGGCAGAGATGTCATCAAGACTACGTTCAGCGCAGAATCTGGAATCAGTGGTGGACACATGCAGGTGAAAACTGGACCCATGTGGCAGGCTGTGGTCCGTAAACACCCTCCGTCGTACACCCTGCCCCTGTTACAAGCTCTGTGGCAGCACCTTGGTTCAAACTCCTTGGACTGAATAGATGAAGTCATCAAGGGCTTGCTGCGAATATGGTTTGTCTGTCGCAGCACCAACCCTCTCTTACAAACCTTTATCGCGTGAGGGCCGCCCAAGGCTTGTAAGTATAGTCGGGTATATATAGGCGTTATATAAGGATTATACAGGCAGGGATAGTGGAAAAGAAAATGGAAACTATGGTAATGGGTTATAATAGGGTATATCTTGGGGTTAGTCTAAGGGTGACATAGGGATAATGGAAAAGAAAGACTGGCAAAGAAATGGAAATCACTTTAGTAGAGTGGGGTATATGCTTCCATTTGTACTCGGATAGATAACTCAAGGTGAGCGTAGTTGGGGCATAGGAACAGTGAACGGACGCCGGTAGCAGGCTTTCAAAGTCAGCATCATGATATGCAGTAGTCTTCTCTGCTGCCTTCGTCTTGAACGCGTATTTCTGCAGGTTGCGGACTTTCGTACTCTACTGCCACGTTATTAGTTATTGACCGCCTGCTTCCTTATAGAAGATAAAGCGACGGTGGCTTGCCTGAAGCCAAGTGCAGAGTCACACCCCTGTAGCATTGTTCAGCAAAGGGGGTCGGTAGACTACGAGTCTCTTTAGCTGGGCGGTTCCGGTGCAACTCCTACCAGGGAGTAGTCAACATGCCCATCTCAAACATCTAGCCGTGCCAAGGTACGCGGAAACATCACAATGTTGGTTGCCACGTCAGTCTGCGCCATCGATATCCCCAGCCACTAGCGCAGCGGACAAACAGGTGAAGCTCAAGGCCTGATCCAAAACAGTCACGCAGGAAACACAACACGGATCCAACCTTCCAGGCGTGGTGTCACCTGATGCAATTTCTTCAGTGTAGGACTAAAGCATGTTCAAACTGCAGCTCTTTCGAGCTTTTGCGTTACAGCGACCTGAGAGCTTGCATCAAACTGTGAAGTCTAGTCGTGATGTGGAGTATCAGGATGCCGTGTTGTCTCCGGACCTTGGTCTTGGTAAGCAACGACCAAAATTGCCGCATCCCCCCGGCAGTACTAGTAGTGAACATACCTGGGAGAAGATAAGCCAACCCTGACATCTTCCTCTTGCAGGGCAATTAGCCGAGTCTGCGCAAAGAGAAAAAAACAACTTAATAATAGAAAAACCATTAGTGTCATGCGGCATTTCATTCGTTGTCCACATTCCCAACTCATGTGCTTGAGCAAAGACTTGAATGCATCGTCCGTAAAAGAAAGCTCCAAGTCTGGCGAGGAGAATCTCCCAAATGACTCATATGGGGGTTTCCCAAAATAGGGGGACCCCAATATAGACCCAAAAATACTATAATCCTTCATTATGGGGGACCCCCAAAATGGTATCCCTAATTTTGGGAACCCCCCATATCCTTTTCTGAAGCTTGTATGTTGGCTTGGCAACCTGTTCCTCATAATGGTACATTTCGCGGATCGTGCATGCTGATCTGTGGAATCGGTTCGCCCAGCACTTTTTGCATCTATGCATGCTTTGCCGTCTAGTGCGCATGCTGCAGCAATATCAACCTACTGGCCTTTGACTAGCTAGGAATGAAGGAATGGAGCCTTATAATTGTCCTTATGTAACCCATTGTAGTAGTTTCCATTTGCTTTTCCAGTCCTTCATTCCCAGCTAACCAAAGGCCGGTCTAGGGGACGTCGCATCTCCCTTGGAGTCCTACTCAGGCATCAGCGGCCCGGTGAGGACACACCTCAACAAAGCTCAAGTAGTAGGTCTAGAGTCTTATCGTCTTGAACATGGAAATCCGTGAACCTACTGTTAAGGGAATTGGGGGGAAGTAAGAGTTTCAAGGGGTTACGGCTTAGGGGCAAGGAATCTAGGGTTTAAGGCTGTATGAGCTTTTCGGATCCGATCAGACGGTGGCTGTGTAAAGTTAGTCGGACAACAGAACTAGAACTAGAACTAGAACTAGTACTAGTACTACAACAACAACTACTACTACTACCACTACTACTACTACTGCTGCTGCTACTACTACTACTACTACTGCTACTTCTTCTTACTACTTCTGCAACTGCTACTGCTACTGCTACTGCTACTGCTACTGCTACTGCTACTACTACGACTACTACTACTACTACTACTACTACTAATAATAATAATTACTACTTCTGCAACTGCAACTGCAACTGCAACTGCAACTGCTACTGCTACTGCTACTGCTGCTGCTGCTGCTGCTACTACTACTACTACTACTACTAATTACTACTTCTGCAACTGCTACTGCTTTTTGTCTTGCTATTGCTAGTTCTATTACTATTATGATTACTATTACTATCACTATCACTATTGATGATACACAGCAAACCTAGCACTTCTAGCGAAATGGATGCAGTGCTACGGATTGGCTTGTGTACCCCACTACTATACATAGATACATATTCATACATATGGATATATACATGTACATAAATGAATTCTTGGTTCGAAGAACCACCCCCCTGATTTTTTGTCTGCCATGGGCAGCAGTGTTCAAAATATGCATCTCAACCCCCATTCGCAGCGAGGGCCATCGGGCAAGTGAGCACCCTACACACTAAACCGCAGTCGTGACATCCTTTTCTCAAGCACCAAGCTCGCAATGCAAGACATGCCCTCTTTGTTTTAGTTTTCGAACCCATAGCATCTCCTTAGAGGAGTTGCCGAGTTGCCAAAGGCCCTGTCCAACATGACTTCCAAGGATTGGAAGACTTCTTAACGGTGCGGATAGCGCCGCAGAAAATAGCAGAGCAAGCTCTAGAAAATTTGGCCACCTATGGCGAAAATTCCGGAAAAACTGTACCTCCGCGGCCGGTCAGGCGACCTATGTGGACTTCTGATCTGAACTATGAATGAACAGCATATCTTGCTAGTCACGCTAGCTTAGACAGGCGTGATGAGACCCCATAGAACCCATAAAGGTATGTATTTGCAACCAGCAGACTGAAGCTCTACCTACAGTAACTCTCTCTGAGGAAATGCTTTTCCGGAACACAGATCAGTAGAAGGCTTTGTCACCTTGTTGGCATTCTCATCTTTCGGAGAGGAATCCCTCTCGCCAGAAGGTTCAAGGTCCATAGCAGCTGCAATATCAAGCAGCACCATCGCGTCAGCTGCAGCGTAGCGCATCTGAGACTCGGAGAGGGGGCGCCTGTCCCAGTCAGAACATTGCTCCGTTTTGTCAAGGTGTACTCCAAGCCACATTGCAGCAACGGATTTCAATCCAGGGGTGTGTCCCTTGGCACCAACATGCAGCATGGCCAGCTTCTGCAAGTCGATGACTTGAATCTCTCTGACGGTCTCGCCGTTCTCATCTTTCATGAGTTCCGTCAGCTTGTCTGCATCGGGGGAGAATGCAAAACCCAGGAATGGCACACCTTCATGCTGAAACAGCCATCGGAAGAATGCTCTGGCATCTGGATTAGGCGTAGCAGTATCTATGACCCAAGCATGCTGAGGAATTGCAAGCTGCACAACGGAAGGAATCTCACCATTAAGACCCCACTCGGTATCAACTCCAACGAAGGGCTGCTGAGATTCGCAAAAGTATCTATCAAGAACCTGTCTCACGGAGGCCAAGCCGTCGCCGTCCGAAACCCACTGGTGCTGAACTGGCAGGGTGTACTCCTGGAGGTCGGGCAACTTGGGCATCATCATCTTTTCGGATTTTTCTTGGTCGAAGGAGGGCGAAGCCGCAGATCTAGCGTACCCGTTGCAGTCGACAACTGCGACGGCAGTGCTGCCTAGCTTCTCCTCCCTGAGCTGTTCAACAGCCCAAGCTGGTATGGACATGGAGTTCTTGACCGCATCATACAACTGTCTTGACTGCTGCTTTTGGAACGCTTCTTCCACAACGTCCTCCACCATCTGAGTCCACTGGGGCGTCACAGCTTGCATGGCACATGCCCATCGAAGACGTTGCAGCAGCTCTGTAACAGCAGGCCCTCCCTGCTTCCTTGACAATGAAGTGCCAGCTGCGATTGAGACTTCTGGGGTGAAAGTGCTGGGCAGCTGAGCCCACCTCTGAAGCCTTTGCCACAACTCCTCCACTGCCAAGCCATCATCGGCAGCGAATTGTGTTTTAAATCGGATCACTTCCATGGCCAGATGTAGTGAAGCTGCTGCTGTGATGTCTGGTACGTTGACCCTGTCAAGCCAACGTGGCGACCTCTGAAGCTCATCCAGCAATGCCGAGAGCATGGTACGGATAGGTCGCCGGTCTCGGTGCCCTATTTCGTGAAGAGCGCGGCCCAAAGCCTCCTCGTCAAACAATGTCAGCAGCTCAGTCAAAGTGGCCCTTTGCGTCGACAACGAATTGGAAATAGCTTTCTGCAGCGCGTCGTGCAGAATGCTGCGCCCGCGGCGAGTGCTACATGTTTCAGCTACTAAGGAAACAAGCTGCGTTCTGTTGAGAACGCTGTGTAAGATGTCAGCTATTTGCGAGGCCAAATCTGCAGACAACTTCTCTCGCTGCGCCTCTTCAGCTGCCGCTTCCTTTTGTTGCAGCTTCCGCCGGCATTGCGGGCATGTCTTCATATGGTCTGCCTGTGCCTGTAAGGCATCGCTGGCATTGCGACTGTCCATCCAAGGCCCATGAAAGGACTTTTCAGCCTCCTCAAGCATCGCAAAGGTTTGGGCATCCAACCGCGTCCGTCCCATACTTACAGGAGTGTCCCCAGTCACAACAATAACACGTGGGTTTGCGCCTCGGCTGAGCAACAGCCGCACTATCTTATTGTGGCCGCGCCCTGCTGCAAAGATGAGAGGCGTGTGGCCTCGCCGAGTTGCCACGTTCACATCGGCTCCCGCATCAAGAAAGAGCTCCACCAATTCCTGGGTTGCTGTTAAGGAACTTAAATTAAGTTACCATAATGGGTATATATATAGAGTAATTCAGAGGGTTTCCCCAATATAGTGACTTAATTTGAGTTCCTTAACAGCAACCCAGATTCCACTTCATCACCTCTGAGCTGGCTTGCAAAGTGGAGCGCTGATTTCCCGTTCCTGTTGCCATGATCTAGAACCTTGGCTACAGCAGCTTTGTCCAGCTTGCTGAGGAAGTTCGAAATTGCGTCCACTGACCCTTCAGATTTGTGGTGCGCGCATGCTTTTCGCAGCCACTTACTGGCAGCCCCTAGGCTTCCAACTGCATCATCGTCATCAGAGGACTCATCTGCATCAGCATGCATGCCAACAGCGCTGACAAGTGGATCCATTGGCGTCGACTGTTGGCTATGGCTTCTGGTGGACCAGCCTGCCCGTCCAACTCGCGTGCGAACCTTCTGGTGGGATTTGGAATTCAGAACCCAACAAGGATGGGAAGCAACAGCCCTCCAGTGCTTCCCAGGCAGCTCAGCCAATAAGTGGAGGACTTGCAGTGCTGCAACTAGGCAGAGACTTCTGCGCACGCGGAGGCGGAAAAACATGAGAGCATGCTGAGCATCTGCAAGTTATTTCCTGCGAAATCAACAGTGGTTGTTGTTTTGGGCTTGGGTTGAGGCCTGTATGACATTATAGGGTATACAGTGGCTTTTCGCTGCCGACTTACTTTGAAGATCTCTTCCGCGAAAGCAATGCGAGGATTGCAGTACGAATGCCAGGTATTGTAGATCCTTTGCCTGTGATATTTCACCATCAGCTGAGTTTTGTGCTATGTCGAACAGAAAAACGGCGGCGGCAGCATTGTTGCAAGTCTCCCAAGATAAGGGGACCCCAATATAGACCCCAAAATAATGAATCCTAATTTAGGGACCCACAGAAAGGCCCCCTAATTTTGGGAAACCCCCTTGGCACTGCAGGCCCCATCTGCGTGCACGGTGGCTTTGGACCGCAGCTGCACGAACGTGGTGCCAGCATCCCTTGCTGCTCTACAAGTATCACCCATATGAGCCATAATCTAAAATCCCAGTATCCCCCTTAATAACCCCTATAATGCTCCCCTATAATGATCCCCCAAGGAAACCCCTTTAAGGAGTTTAGACCATAGCTCATGCAAAACCTCAGCTTCCAGTTCATTTCCCACTTTCCTTTCCATCTGGTCCTCCATTAGTACACTTGCCTCGCTTTGGCCCTACCATGGGTATCCCTCACCGGCGGCGAAGCCTAGGAATCGTGCAGGGCCACAATTTGACCCTAAACCCTGAACTCTAAACCCCAAACCCTAGAGCCATGGAGCAATCCTCCGACTTGAGGCCACCCGTCACGTAGTACAGGGAATTCGCGGGGCAAAAGAACTTGAAACCACTCCAGGTGCTAGATGAAAGGCATAGGTCATATGTACCATGGTCTAAACTCCTTATCCCCCTTAATAACCCCTATAATAGTCCCCTATAGAGTCCCCTATATAACCCCCCTTTAAGGACTTTAGACTATAGCTCATATGAGAATTCACTCTGTGGGTGCATAAAAATTGCTTGCCGGGGGGGGGGGTTGCGTTCTATGATTGCGGCGGCACCTGAAAAGACAATAGGCTGTCGAATCTACCTAATATGAGCCCAAAACTGCATCCCGCTGACTGGCTCCTGCATCGGGACGCCCGTTTTAGCAAAATTTGCTGAGGCAGCGGCCAGGCGTGTAGAATCTGTACACCGCGTAGAGAATGAGCCTAGAAGAACAGAAAGCTTTCCTGCCTTAACTTTGTCTGAAACTATGTTCGGGGCATTGTACACTGTAACCAAGATTTGAAAAGTGTGAAAGCTAAACAGGGCTCAATGACAAACCTTTCATGGGAACTCCCAATTACATCATGCCCCCTGTTTCCGCAGTCTAGGGAGTTTGTTGGGGGATTATATGGTGCTGGGAATTGCACAGGGTAGATAAAGAAAACCTCCACGTGTAGCTGCTATTGGATAATCCTGGGGAGCAGGCACAACGAACAAAACGATCGACAGGATCAGATTTCTGAAGCCCGCCTGGCTGTGGGCTCAGGTCGCCAAGGCAAATCCACACATTGGCTACTATGGCCACTGTATCAAGTGAGCGGACCTAGCAGGCGTACTCTTTGTAGTACGGCTAGCTGCATGGTATTTCCGACGTCTGAGCCCGCAATCTAAACGGCAAGCCGCGTTGAGTTGCCGGTTCCAGCCTCTCTCGTCGCTGTTTTAGCTGGGGGTGTTGCTGCATACCTGACAGACATCGGTGGTTCTAAAAATCGTGACCCTTTCTTCGAACCACACTCGGCACCCCGCACCTGGGGGCCTGAATTTAGTTTGCATGCAAAGAGAACCCTGCAGAGTCTGACTCGGGATTTTGAACACTTGCGCACCAGAACGGGGGAATATGGGGGTTGTGCTGGGATAATGGAAAAGAAAATGGAAACTACTTTAATAAGATAGGTTATATAGGGGGGTTATATTAGGGTTATATTACCCCCAATGATGGAAAATGACGCTGACTCCCTCCGAACTGTCTGTGTGGTGGGCTACGTCATGCTGGGAGCCACGCATGGCCGCCCCGACGAGCCACAACGGAGGAAATAGAATTCCGACTGTGCATATGAGCTGTTGGCATCGCGGATTGTCGTCCTGATAGCTACTGGCTGTGTAAGTGGTGGTCCACTGGGAGCAAGTGGGATGTGCCTTATTTACCTGATCTCAGGTAGACGTCTGGAAAATCGCACTGTTCATCATTTGCATCATGGATGTCTCTCGACGAACTTTCTCGCAGCCAGCCGGGGACAAAGCACGAACGCAGAGGCTATGACAACTTCTAGGGTTTAGGGCTTATAGGAAGTATATACCCCAATATTGGAGAATCAAATGGAAAATCATAATTGAAACTAGGGAATCGGGTTTTTTTCCGGACCCTTTCAATCGGGTTTGGGGGTTAAGATTTAGAGTTTAGGGGGCACCACCAGCCAGGCCCATCCGTCCTCGTACACTGCCAACCTGTCCTGAAGCTTCGGACGATTCCTGCAGCAACTTCCCAAAATAGGGGGACTCCCATGCAGCCCAAAATACTATAACCCTTATTCTAGGGACCCCTAAAACTGCACCACGAAAATTGGGAAACCCGCAACATTTCCGTAGCTTGGCTTGCGAGCAGCTTCAACTTCCTAATTCAGATACCATGGGTTTAGGGTTTATAGTTCAATAGCATCATTCCTGTATCAACGCTGCACCTCACAAGAAGAACTGCGTCCTGGGCCTGTCGACATTAAAAGAAGTTGATGTTGCTGCAGACTTCCTGCCACACATCAGCGAGTTTGGCAGCATCCTGCTGAAATGCTTGCTATCGCTTTCACTGTTCCTGCGACGCCTCCAAGCAAAAGGTCATATTACCGTCAAACAGCGAGGCACTGGTGTAGGCCATGCATGCATCAAAATTCGAGTCAATCAGCGTGCGTGGCTGTGTGAAGCCTCAACCAAGGCAAAGAAGCGTGTCAGGCATACGCCGGTATGTCCGAGGGCAGCTGGTTGCCAAACACTTGCGGCGTAGGAGGCGTGTACCTGGAAGCGGTGGCGTGAAAGAAGGTGCTGAAGTCGCTTGGGCCCCTGTCGCACTGCACCGTCTCGTACTTGGGCCGTTTTGATTTGGTCATCCTGCCAGGTGTGGAGTTTGTGCCGGAGGCCGCTACAATTCATGAGCACATGGCTGAGAAAACAAGATGCAGCGCGCCTGACCACTGCTCGTCCGCAAGCTGCCCGCAAGTTAAAAACTGCAGCAAGACCCTTCTTCCAGGGTAAGTTGAATCTGGGCTGGGTTTTGGGCTGAACGTGTGGGCGTTCAGTATTGCGAGAATTAGCTGATCTAAATCTGACCTTGACCACAAAGACACAAATTTGTTTAGCCTCTTGCTTAACAAGCACGTGCTCTTCAGCATGTTGCGGCCCGCTTCTGCCCATTTGAGCCGAAATCTTCATGCAGTGGAGCTGCCATTCGTCCGCAATAATGTCTGCATTCGGTTCTTTGCAAAACTTGCTTTTACCGTGCAACTGAAAACTGCAAGCGGAAGCTAGCTGAATCATAGAGACTACTCGCCACCACAGGCGAAAAGAAGATGCCCATGCACTGGGCGTGAAACACATCACTGAAACGCATGCTACTTCCTCGTACAACACGGACGAGGGTGCCAAGGCAAGTCTCAGTATCCAATTGCTTTGAGCACAGGTTTCAGCCAGGATGGCACGTAGCCGCCTCGGAAAGGCATAGCCAGTTGACTCACACCAGTCGTCTTGGCACGTACAGATCGTAAGGCTGCAACCACCACTTATGAGAATGAAGATCAAAAGGAAGGCGAAGGCGAACACACCGATCCCCAATATTCTGAGCCTCAGCGACAGGCTGTCCCAAACCAACCGGGCTCAGACAATGCGGGATTCACCATGCAATGCGAAGGCACAAATGCAATTTGAGGATCAGACCAACCCTTACTTGACCTCAGTGGAAGCCGTGCACATCCCTTGCTTTTTCATTGCTTTGCTTGCTCTCGCTCCCCAGCAATGCCCAGTTGGCATTGGGATCATTCTCACGGCATCTTCACGCAGTCTTTGAGCACCAGGCCCTGACCAACGCTCCCTCAGCGGCAAGACGAGCTTGAGGGGTGTTGAGTTGGGTGGTTTAATTTGGGGATGCAAATTCCTCTACTGACCCATCACTTCATCTGCATCTGAGGCACTCCCTCTCCCGCCGCTCTGGATCATCTTCGACTTCCAACTCCAGCTGAGGGACCTGAGCCCTTCCCTGCAAGCCCTGAAAAGACCTATGGGGTGAGCATGGACTTATTCAACCGCTATACTCATCCGTGTTCGGAGACGGCTCTCTTTAACATCGGGGCCTGAGGACTGAGGTGCGATTTGCTGCCTCATGTTGCTGCCTTCGCTCCTAAAACGCTACGTCTTGAAATGCCTCGCATGCAGACCCCACCATCAACATATGAACACGTCAGGGGCTGATTTGGAACGTGCAAAAGCCTCCGGCATCCCGAGGCAACGATCTAAAAAACCCAACATAACCCCAATATAGTATAACCCTAATCTAACCCCAGGAAAAAACACCCAAAGTTCACAAGGGCATTTGGTGGCAAAAAATTCTTCAGCTAAGTGCTCCAGCAGAGTCGATGCTGTCTTTGCCAGCTGCGCGGCTGATGCGCGCCTCATCACCGGTACACTTTACTATTACTGTTACTATTGCTGTTACTATTGCTATTACTATGACTATTACTATTGCTATTACTATGACTACTACCATTACTAGTACTATGACTATTACTATTCCTACTATTCCTATTACTATCACTATCACTATCGCTACTACTATTACTATTACTACTTCTATGGGCTCCAGCTTGGTGGAGATTTAAGGCTTGTGCCACTTCTGAACGGCATTCAAATCAAGCATGGCCAATCCTATTGAGAAACAGAGCTGATGGGTTTGAGGTTTTTCAGTCTTTTTAGGGGATGCTCCATGTGATCTTCTAAAACCAGACTCCCAGAGATAACTCGTCTGCAAACCTTCAGGTTGAGCAGCATAATCTGAAGGAATCCCACCATGGTGCCAGAATTCTTGCACTGATACACGCTACCTCATCCTGGGTGCTGCGCCAAACTTTGGGAATGTCCCAACGAAATTGCGCGCGTCGTTGCTGCATTTTTGCCCTGAGACAGCAGCACGGTCACGACCAAACTACCGCTCCCAATCTAGCAGGAGTTGACTGCGTTTCTATCATGTCGATTGGGAGGACGCTATGAATCAGAAGCCCATAACCAGCATCCGCCCAAATTTTCACAGCACGGCACAGAGAGGGACTTGCAAGATCTCTCCTGGCCCACAGACCAACTTCGTTGCACTGCAATGCTGGCGTCGGAAAGTCAAGCTGAGATGAGGCTTAAGAACTTTCAAGGCTGAATCCGTTCCAAACACGAACAGGCCCGAATCTGCAACCCGAGACCTAAATGCCCCTAGATCCCACACGAAAGGACCTTAATCTTTGGAACATCTACAGCCTGTAGCAACCATACTGTGACTGGGCTGACTAAGCTGTGTGGGGGCGAGTGCCAATTCAAAAGGAATGCCCAAACACAAAACTACATGCAAACACGATGGCAGTGGGTAAGCACAACAAGAAGAGGAAGAAAAGAAATGAGGGGTCCAGAAGAATCAGAAGAACGGTCTTCGCGCCCTCATCCCAACAACACGTCCAGGACCCCTAAAGCAACACACTAAACTCTAAACCCCCAACCCCCCCTCAGCCCTATACCCTGAAACCCTGGTTGCCCGAAATCCCCAAGCCCCACAACCTGAGGCTCCCAACCCAGGCAACTGCGCCCATCCGAGTCCGGGCAGGTTGCCTTGTGGCTCAGTAGTATATTACAGTATTCTAGAATATATCCTAGTATACTTTCATCTAATATGATATGTTGCAGTAGTAGTAACAATGTATTAAACTAGAATATAATCTTATATATTGGTAAGTTTGCTTGAAGGTTTGGGCGCTCAGGGGAATTAGAGGGTAGGGTATGAAAGGGGTTAGAAGTCACTCAATTGGGTTGGCCTGCTCATTCAGAACCACTGTTGTGACCCACTTACCAAGTTCCCGGGCCTTCAAGTAGTGCTTCACGGTTCTGATTTGGAAGGCCTTGTAAAATCTGCGGTATCAAGCTTTTGCAACTTGCATGGAGTCATAGCAGAACAAGGTTCGCCCGGGCTCAGTCAAAGCGGCCATTCCTAGATTTTTGTGTAGATATCTTCCGTTGGTGCTTGGTCTTTTCTCCGCAAGCTGGCTACTGCCTGCAGCTGGTGATTCTGCTGCTCTACCCGAACACATGCATATCTTTAAGCCGCACTGAAGAGGCATGTCAAAGCCGAGGATAGGGGAGCAACCTCTTGCTGAGGGCTCAAGCTCCCAAATTGACCCGTTCGGGGTCTAGAGTCAAAAGCCTTGCGGGCTCAGTAGCTACCGTGGAGAAGCACTGGAACATGCTTCCCAATAAACAGAAGGCATCAAATCAGAGGCTCCATTCGAAAGGTGCCTTTTCCACATGACCTTCTTGATTTATCCTGGCCTCGTTTGAAACTTCTCTTTGAACACATCCCTGAGGGCCCACGCATCTTCAGCCCCGCGACAGGCTGAATAAAATTGTCGATGCAAAGCCTAAAAACCTAGGAAGTTTTCATGCATTTTGCCAGTGAAGAGCTTGGCATGAGCCCCGGCCACAGCTCAATCAGATTTCTATCCAACCCAAATGGCTCTGTATGTTGCAACGCATCGTCACGCAGCTTGCCTCTTCACCACGAGGCCGACTGCCATCGCTGTGGCGCCTACAGCGAGCAGGAGCTGCGCACCTTCCGCTCCAGGCAAGAGTCCAGGAGCACTACGTTGTATGCTAAAAATCCTGCATGATCCCGAGTACCCTAAACCTTGGCAATTCTGGCATTGTAGTTTTTTTAGGTCATGCATGATTTTTAGTATCAACGCGGAGAACATGAACAGCATTCTGAGCATAAGAAGAAATTTAGGGGACCAGCAATCGTGAAGCATTTGGAGCCACAATGGTAGTGGTGGTTGCCATCAAAGTAGCCAACAAAAAAGCAAATGGTGAATTTATGCTCATATGGGTGGTTGTCAAAATTATGGTCCCTTTTTGGATCCCTAGTATAATACGGCCCCTAATATTTAGGGTACCCAAAAAGGGACCATAATTTTGACAACCACCCATATGTATACAAAGGCTCCAAGCTCTCTTTACGAGACCCCAGAAGCGAAAATCTTGCCCAGCATGTCGGTAGGCCGTAGAGTCTATGGAGCTTTAGGCAGGAATTTGACTTTATCACCCTTACTGCTAGGGTGGATTGCCGAATCTGCTGACATTCTGACAACAACAAGACCGTTGAAAATAATTGCTGATAATGATCAAAACCACAACTTGGAAACTTGCAATCCAATCGCAATGCAATATCAAATCTAATTGAATCATATAGTCAGCCTTAAGTAGGTAGAATATGGAATTCCCCAAAACCAAAATAAAATCACCAGATTACCCCAAATTCTACCTACCTAAGGGAGTCGTAAATTCATCCAGTCGAGGTTGGGGCTCTGCTCCAGAACCTCCCTAGGCCCAGAAGCCACCATGTTAGGGAACCAGCACTAGAAAAGTTGAGAACACATGTGGAGACGCAGGGTTATGTAGGGGTTATATTGGGATAATGGAACATAAAATGGAAACTATTATTTTGGGTTTAGGGTTTGATACGAGAACCACCAGATCGGTAATGCTTCAGTTACAACGATCGCAAATGTGTGCCACCAGTCGCAAAAACTGAAACAGACGGGACTAGAAAGAACAAATAGCCCTATATTATCCCTATATAATCACTATATAACCTCTATTTAACTATAGTACACAAAGGCTCTACTCTACTCACAGTTTTCATTTCATTTCCATCTTCTCTGCAGAGTGATTCTCCATTATTGGAGCACTATCTCCAAACCCTGAAGCCTGAATCCATATGTGTATATATATATATACCAATGTACATATCCATTATATATCCCTACATCCCAACGTATCCCGAAATATCCCTGTGTATATCCCCTGAATA